TATGTATGTATGTATGTATGTATGTATGTATGTATGTATGTATGTATGTATGTATGTATGTATGTATGTATGTATGTAATGTAATGTAATGTAATGTAATGTAATGTAATGTAATGTATGTATGTATGTATGTATGTATGTATGTATGTATGTATGTATGTAATGTATGTATGTATGTATGTTATGTTATGTTGTATGTTATGTATGCATGTATGTATGTTATGTTATGTTATGTTATGTATGTATGTATGTATGTATGTATGTATGTATGTATGTAATGCATGTATGGATGTATGTATGGATGGATGCATGTACGTATGATATGATATGGTATGTTATGTTATGTTATGTATGTATGTATGTATGTAATGTATGTTATGTGTGTGTTATGTGTGTAATGTATGTAATGGATGTATGTATGTATGTAATGTATGTTATGTATGTAATGTATGAATGGATGTATGTATGTATGTATGTACGTATGATATGATATGGTATGGTATGTTATGTTATGTTATGTATGTATGTAATGTATGTAATGTATGTTATGTATGTAATGTATGAATGGATGTATGCATGTATGTATGGTATGGTATGATATGTTATGTTATGTTATGTTATGTATGTGCGTATGAGATAATATGGTATGGTATGTTATGTTTTTTTTTTTTTTTTGCATGTATGAATGTAATGTATGTTATGTATGTAATGTATGAATGAATGTATGTATGTATGTACGTATGTTATGATCTGGTATGGTATGGTATGTTATATTATGTAAGTATGTAATGCATGTAATGCATGTAATGCATGTAATGCATGTAATGCATGTAATGCATGTAATGCATGTAATGCATGTAATGCATGTAATGCATGTAATAAGGCGGGGGCAGGGCCGCCTAGGTGGTGGCTGCCACCGCTGACCCCGGACTCCTTGATGGAGTTCCTGTGGGCTGACGTCATGGTCTATTTCATGATGCGATGATGAAATCACGCTGGTTGAGTTCATAGGTGCCACACGCCCTCGGGTTGGTCTGCCAAGGCCCTGGATATTTGGCGCATGGAGTTGAAGGTGCAGGGACTCTTCGATCAAGTGTTGGCGTTATTGGTCCGGATGTGACAGAGCTGCAAGAGAAACTGGCGCCGCTGCAGCGCCAAGAGTCATGGAAAAATCGTCAGCTGCGTACATTCGACGAGCTGAGGAAAAGGAGCACAGGTGCAGGCACTGTAGTTCTTGACGCAAAGGTTTCGAGCGCACCTGTGCTGCATCTTGCATTTTGACATGGGGAATTTCACATGGGATCCGAGGGGTCCCATGGAAGTCGTAGGTGTTTATTCAGATGGAACTCCTTGCTGTGCATTTTGCTCCCGGGGCCCGTAGCCTGTGTATTGTGGGTGAGGCGATGCGCGTGTGGGATGCCCGCGACCCTTTGTGATCGTGGCCGGGTTTGGTAATCGGTTCAGGGTCCCTGGCTCCAGCCGCTTGCGGTTTCGCACGCCTGACTCAATTCTCCACGCGCCCTCCAGATTCTTCTTTTCTTTCCTTTTTTTAGAAGGACTCCATGACCTCCAAAGCAACCCCAAGAGAGGGCAACCTGGCCCGAGTTTCGATGCCTTTGCCCAGGCGCTGGCCTACAGGCAGGGACTTCGGGTGGAAGCGGTCAGGAATCCACGGGGTGGATGCAGTCCCTTGCAGTCTTCCCTAAGAAGCATGCCACGGCGACATGGGTTGTGCCCAGCTGGCCACGCACGCAAGCAAGGATGCAAGGTGTCAGGGACCAAGGAACCTGATTGACTCTGGTTCTCTGGAGCTTATGCTTGGGGCCTGGCGGGATGCCAGGCGCTATGCTTCCTCGTGTTCTACGTGCTGGTAAAGAAGTTTATGCCCCAGACCAAGGCGCAAATCCGGGGCTCTGGATTGAACAGATGCACCAGATCCACCAGATCCATGCCAGTCGCAACCTGAGGGACCAAGGGGGGGCCCACTAGTTGTGTAAATTGTGTGCTTTGGCCCTCGAAGCAGACCGCAAGCAGGTGGGAAGGTGTTGCTTTTTTGTGCAGGACCCGGTCAGCCTGGCAGACACGCTCTTCTCCATCTTCTTCTTTCCGCTTTTGGCCTTTGCCGCCTTGGCACCGGGCTGAGGTGAAGGGCCCGGCTGTGCTAACGGGGGTTCTGGCCGGATGTGCGAGAGTCAAGTAACTGACTCCTGTGAACTTTGTGAAGTCGTGTTTTGACGCACACATGTATTCTTGTGTGACAAGCAACTTGCATTCTTTTGTTATCCGTCAATTTGGGTGAGGTTCCTACTGCTTCGGTGCAGGCTTATTGAGGTGAACCATGAAAATCGGAGTGTCATCCGATGGAATGCTCTTTTCCGGCCTGGGTCCGGCACAGCTAGCCTTCTCGCAAAAAGAGCATCAGCGCGAGGGCACTTGGTCTATCAACAAGTTTCAATTTCCAATTGAGCGGGGCGCCAATATATCATCTGGAAGAAGCTGATGTGGAGTGGGTGCCCCACTCAAAGGGAAGGACACATAGGCCTGTGCCACGTTGGGTGTGAGCCTCCGGATTCTTTTAAGCAGCTCCTCCCCTGCAAAATAACGTGGAACGTTTCTGAGGAGTTGTTTCTGGGAGGAGAGGCCATGGAGATACACTCGGGGGACCTCCATATGGGTGTGTCTTAAAATAGGGGGCCCCAAAACAATTCTGGTGGCACTTTCGTCTTCTTTTTGGATGGGCCCCACAAAGGGTACCCTCAAAAAAAGACACATCCATATGATTTCAAGCTCTCTGAAAGGGCCGCCGGTCAGCGCCGGTGAGCTGCACTGTGGCTACAGAAGGAATCGGTAGGCGTTGTGTTCAGCTCAAGGTCCTCCAAAGTTGGGCATGCCATCCAAAAGCCCTCAACTCCATGGATCTCTGCCTACAAAAGCTTGCACCGTGTGCTCAGGGAAGGGCAACCCAGGAAGCAAGATGTGCTTGCTGGGTGCTTTGCGCCCAGCGTGCCCCGAGGCAGCCTCCTGGCAGCTGCGTTCGGATGTGGAGGCCCGCTGGCAGGCGGGCTCGACCTGAAGCCTCATGGGTTGCCTAAGTCTAGAGATGGGGGTTCCCGAAGGAATGCCCAAGGTGGAGCTGTGGTTCAAAACATGTTTCGCTCAAAGAGGGAGGGAAGTGTGGCTGATGACCAGGAGTGGCTTTTCGAAGCAAGGTGTTCGAAGGTCTATCTACCGGCTTCAATGAGTTGCCTCCGACAGGAATTCCGCAAGGAAGTTGCAATTCACCAGTTTAGGTGCCCATGCCGTGATTCGTGGCTTTAGTTAGCTGTTTAGCTGAAGCCGCAGTAAGCAACATGTTGAAGGCATGGCGTAATTGGAGGCTTGGAAAGCTCTGGGCACCTGAAACTAGTAGGTTGAGTGATGCTCGTGGTTGCTGGATTGCACCAATCAGAACAGAACCGGACAAGGCAGACGTTTTCTTTTTGATGGCCAACAGTCGTATCAAAATTACGAGAGTGCGTGCAGAGAAGCCGGCGCCAGGGCATCAACTTTTGGTCCAATTTCTATTTGATCCTTTATGTGAGCCGCATGCCGGAGCCTTAGTTCCAGCAGAAGCGCGGAGGTTTAGTAACTGAGGTCCTTTTCCACACCAACAGTCGTTCCCAATGAGATGCACCATTTTAAAGTCAGGTTTTGCAACTTGAGTTGTTGCAAGAGCGCCACGGCCCATGAATGGCGAAGAAGCAGCGAGAATCCTATTTTGTGACCGCGGCTGTTGCTTGTGTCGTTGTCATTGCAGTTATTGCTGTCATTGCTGTCATGGCTGCTGGCTGGTTGGTTGCTTGCGTGGTTGGTTGGTTGGGTGGGTGGGTGGGTTGGTTGGTTGGTTGGTTGGTTGGTTGGTTGCCTGCCTGCCTGTCTGCCTGCCTGCTTGCTTGCTTGCCTGGCTGGCTGGCTGGCTAACTAACTAACTAGTTATTTTGACAGTGCTACTACTACTGCTGCTGCTACTGCTACTGCTGCTGCTGCTGCTGCTGGTCTTAGTGGTGTGGCGGCACTTTTGCCAGCGTTGTTATTCGTGCCTGGCTTTCCGAGGATGGTGCATCTTTGCTTGCAGCCCCTCGAGGATATGTCTTGCCCCTTGCCTTGGAAGGAGCATGCGAAGAGCCACTCAGAATAAGTGCCCCAAGGGCACTGGCAGGAAGCAAGGCTGCTTTTTCCCAGGAATCATGGGCACGATTTTCAGTGTCCAAAATACGCCAGTCCTTTTGAGCATGCCTGCTTTTCTCCGGATGGGGGTTGAATCCTGCAACCAACCCCATGAAGCTTAGAGGCACTTGCTTTTATAAGGGCGCGTCATGGGGTTTGCGGTTTGGCAAATGCAAACATTCTCCTTCTGAGACCATAGATGCCAGTGGCTGATGCAACAGGGAGTTTGTAGAAACACACACCGAGGAACACCCAATCACATAGTTCTGTGTGAGCCACTGCCAAACAGATTTGTTCAGATCTTTGGATCTTGCACTCAATGACCGCCGACAAGCACATGTCTCCCGCTGGCCGCCCTTTCAGGGATGATGCTGTTGATGATGAGCACCCACCATCTCATCAGCACCGTGGCAAAAATCATCCTGCGGGCTGGCCTTGGAAACGCTGACGTAGTCCACGTAACCCTTGCATGCCGCGCGTTGAACCTTTCGGGCTTGGGCCGGGATCACAGATTGATCCTGGCTTCGCCGTGCCTTCAAGAACACATGGCTTGAAGTGGTTAGTCTGCGCAGATTCGACGGACAAATGTGCACAGGTCAATCCGCACATGCAGTGCTTGCCACTTTGGAGTTTTGAGGATGCTTTCCCTGCAGGGCAGACTGATAGGCTCGGCTCCATGGTCAAACTATTTGGCGGTCACCCATCTGAATGAAAAACGACGAATAGGGCTCCAGGCTGTGGGCCACAGCCAAAACCCTTTCCGGCCGAGCCGTGGCTGCTTCTGCTCTTGCGCCATGTGGCGAGTGCTCGCCGCGCAGCTGGGGGTTGCAGCCGGGAGCGTGTCCTTTCTGACGCTGGGAGGAGGGGATACGGAATCCTGAGATACTACTCAATCATACAGGGTGGTGGTAAGACGCATCAGAAGCACACACCTCGGTTGGTGGAATGCCTGTTTTGCCTCGTACTTCCTGGCATGAGCTGGATGGATGGTGTGGCATGACCTTTCTGGGCACCCCTTGTGGATCACCAACGTGGAAACCCCTTATTTACCACAGGCGGCTCTGAAGAACTCAGGCACCCCGTGCGTTGCTCCAGTTTTGAGCTCCGCCAAACCGCAAAACCGCCAGACTGGGGCGGCTACGACTTGGGCTCCTTCCACCAGAAAGCGGTGACCGATGTGGCGAAGCAGATGGCGAAGACGGCCACCGCGAACGCGGCTGCCTTCGTAGCGCCCGGGCTGAAGCTCTGCGTGTGGCAAGGCTGATGGCGGTCCTGTGACAAGCCTTGAGCCATGACTGGTGTTCGCGGCACGCAGCTGCATCATGGCTGCCCAGGAATGCCAAGTTCATACTATCAACATGTGGTTTTGTTTGGCTGGTGGGCATCTCACACTGCTCACGCCTAGGCTTGCACGCGCATTTGTGAATGGCCTCTGACGCTTGACCAGCCTTGGGCTACCTTGTTTTGCACGTCTGGCAGGTCAACACCGGCGACAACTTTTACTACTGCGGCATCACCAGCACCTCAGACAAACAGGCGCGCGGCTTTTTTGGAAGAGGACGCTGGTGCAAGACTGTCCCAAAGGTGTCAAGAAGTTTTTCCTACGAACAATGCAAGTGGGTGACCCCCCTTTCTCTGACCTCCTGAGAGAGATTTTGAAGGTTGTTGCTCGAGTCACGTGGTTAATGGGTGAACCCTTGGCGCTGATGCCGCGTCTCCTTGCGTGCGGTTCCCCTCCAGGTGGCAGACGACTTCACCAACATCTACACTGACAAGTCCCTGAAGGCCGGAGGCGCATGCATCCTGAACACGTTGCAGGCGGAACCTTTGGCTTTGCAGAAAGCAGAGGGGCCACTCGAGGGTCCAAAGGGATGCGATGTCGCGGCAATGCGCCGTCAGCCCTTTGGAGAAGTGTATCGATTGATTGCATGTTCTTCATGAGTTGGGACCGCGCTACTGGCAACTTCAAAGCTACATGCCATTTGCAAGGCAGTTTCGCGTAAGACCTTCACCGAGATAGTCCGTTGTTGGGGAGCCAGACGGGGTGCCCAATTTCAACTGCAGGTGCCTTGGTACTCCGTGCTTGGAAATCACGAATATGGCAGCTTGGCGGCTCGGGGTCTGCATGTTGCTGGTTCCTTGACCCTTTCCCACGCTTGTGCAAGCATGTGAGGTGAGTAAAGTGACAAACCTTCAATTTGCAAGCCATAACCAGCCGTGCTGTACTAGGATGTCCGTTGAAACTTGTTGAAGCTCGGAAGTTGTAAGCGGGGAGCCAGGATGTTTTTCCTGCAGTTCACCGGGGATGGTTTCTGCTTATGGGCAGATGCTGCGCCGGGCACTGCCAAGGCCAAGCATCGAGCCAGCACAAATGTTGCATCAAGGCACGTCCTTCTAATACCGTTTGGATCGAATTGACTGATGTGCGGACTCATGCTCGCTGGTCGCTCCCACAGCGGCACTCTGCGGCTACCACTCCTGTGCACATCAGCAGCCATGATAGCAATGTCAAAAGAAGCCATTTGGAGGCTGCGCCTTGGCAGATCTTTGCTCATTCCGAAATGCGGCTGTACTCGGATCTGTACCATTTTTGAACCTGCAATCTCAGTCGAGCCGCCGAGCGCACAGCACACAAGTCAAGAAAAGTCGCGGGCAGCCGGCCTGTAGCCGTCCTGCAGCCTCATAAAGCTCTTGCCAGTCGTCGTTCCTCGCCGCGTGACGCCTGGCTGGGCAGCACCGCCCCGTGTTGTGTTGGGTCGCGTAGTATCAAACTTCAATTGCGCTTGATGGCAGGGCGGGCCATGCGGCTGAGTCTTTCAGTGGGCTTCCTTCTTTAAGGCATCACGCCGCCAATGCGAACCGTTTTCGAGTCGTTTTTGGTTTGGGCGGATGGATGCTGATGCTTGAAGCGGGCGACATCGATGCGCGCATTGAGGCTACGATGTGGAGGCGCAGTGCCAGCTGTCCAGCAAGCTCAGTGACCCGGCGTAGCGGCCATCCATTTGGTCAATTGGCCGTGGTGGTCAAAACCAATGGGATCCCATTCTGGGGTAGATGCACCCGGATGCACCACCCATTTTAGTCTGTTTTAGTGGGGGTTGGGATGTTCACTGGGGGTTGGATTTTGACCCATGGCCAATTGACAAGGTGTCAAAACTGATTGGACCCCTTCCAGGTCAGTTTGACTGGGTGATTATCGATTGTCCTTTTGAGGAGTGCGGTTCTGGCTTCCTTTCTTCCTTTCACATGGTGTTGATGTTCCGTTTGGTCCGGCCGACGTTTGTATTTGTTGCTGGCGTTTCCAATGTCAGCCCGTTTCGAGTCATTCGCGCTCAACGGTTGGACGCTTCAGTTCAGGATCTTTGGACAAGTGACATGACATGTGAGATGTGAAGTGCATCCACATCCAAGATTAGCAGCACTAAAGAGCCATCCCTGGTTAATCAATAGGGGGGTCCCATTTTAGAGAGAACAATTCCCTTTCGGGCCCCGATAATGACAATAGTAATAATTATAACCATATACAGGATCGGCATGAACAGCAACTCAAAAAGTCAGTGCATGTTTGCCGGAAGGCGCTGCTGCCCGATACCAGTCGATTGCTAGTTTGAAGTGCAAGGCTTACAACTGCTGAAGACTCGCCCGAGGCAATTGGGTCATGGACAGCAGGTACTACACCAAGCGCGTGGCCCTGGCCGAGGACCAGCACATCTCCTTCATTTTCCTCGCCCCTCGGCGTAACCAAGGCCCCAGGACCGCAGCTCATAGTCACTTGGTTCTGGAGGCCCAAGTGAGCTCGCGCGGTGGTTGTTTGCTGTTGTTTCTTTCTTCCTATCGCAAGTCAGGAGACCGACTGGGTGTTTGATTTGTCCAGACTTCACGCTTGATTCGCGGAAGCAGCAAGAGGGAAGCGACAAGTCCATTTGTGGGAGCCCTGCAGAAGGATCATGTGTCTCTGAGTGAATGCTTTGCCGGAAGCCAACCATGTTGGTTGATTTTGAAGGGAAGCGCAAGGGGACACCAGCCAGTTTGGGCGTCCTTCATTTGGAGACATAGCCACGAGCATGCCGGGACGACATTCGGGAGTTTCAGACAAGCTTGCAAAGATGTGCATTGAATTTCAATACAGCACGGTCAAGCCAGTCACCTATAGGGAATCAGAATAAGTGGGGCTGACAAAGCATGTTGTTGAGCATGCTGCGTTGCCTTGTGTAGATGCTTTCCTGGAAACTGGAAGTCCCCCCCCCTCCCGAAAAAAAGAATCGAAGAAAACAAAACAAAACACAAAAACACAGAAAATGGCGAGAAATAAGAAACACCGCCCCTGTCTCGAGGACTCGTCGCCCTGCGTGGCGGACTACCGTGGTGAGGACGACTCCAGGCACTTCCAGACTGTGGATTCTGATGGGTTCTGCTTGACGCCCAACCAGCAAAAGACCTCAAGTTTGACAGATTCTTCAGGAATAGCATGCCCACATTGACGTAGTCACTAAGCTGATCTGACGGCTTGACCAAATTGACAAAGCTGGCTTTGTGTTGTTCTCATCCCGAGTTGTTTTTCGAAGCCACAGGCTCGCTTCCGTTTCGAAGGCTTGGGCTCCCATGTGGAAATGGAGCAGGAGCGAGTCCCATTCCCAGGATTTGGTACAGCACAAAGCTTGTCTTCTCGCCCATGAGATGTCCAGGGTGCCTTCCTAGAGGCTGAACGCAAATGCCCTGATCAATTGCATGATCCTGGCCACCTCAATTGCATGATTCGACCCTGATCGCGTTTTTTTTTTCTTCAGAAAATGGCAGGTCACAAGTTGGGGGACATCATCCCCAGGCACCCAGCACCAGCTTGCTGTGCCCGGACACCGCCCTGGGAGCCAACCCAACTGTTGGTGTCATAGACATTCTTAAAATTTACGGGCTAGAGCCCAGCTCGCGCACTCTGTCTGCGCTTCGGATAATGTTCGAAAGTTGCTCAGAAGCGGAATGCACTTGGAGTGTTTGCTGGTGAGTGGGGGCGAGGTCCAACTTGGCCATGTTGAAATGACAAAAACATCATGCACTTTCTGCAAAGCTTGCTGTCGTGCACTTAGTAGCACTCAGTAGCGCTCAGTAGCGCTCAAGACCGCGCAGCAAGGCTCAAAACACACACACAGACGTGGCCATTGTTCTTTGCTGAGCCTAAAAATCTCGGAAGAGTGCTTGCTGAGCTCACTCATGGGGTCAAACAACAGCTCCAAACTGAGCCAAGGCCCAAAGAAAACGGAAACACCTCGTGGCCCCAGGTGGGACCCCTGCGGCTCGGAGTTCCCCACCTGCGATCCCATCATGGAGGGCCCCTGCAAGTTTCATGCCGCTGGACCGGATTCGGGGCTGTCCGGGTGCCCGCTCTTTGTGGAATGCGCCGATGGTTCAATCCTTTCTGGATGAGGTTGGGACTCTAGGCATCTTTGACAGGGTATTCCATACCAGTTTTGCTCTTTCAGGGGCAGCCAAAAAGCACGTTTTGTCATAGAAAGCGGCCTCCTGACGGTGACGAAAACAGCAAGAGGACAGCTACCCGTTTCTTTAAGTTGCTTCTTTGCAGCCCCTCAAGCAAATCATATAAAGTCTTGCCTGTTTAATGTTACCCCTCCCCCCCTCTGGAACAGTGCCAACTGGGAGTATTCGGAGCCCTTTTCGCGGAAAATGGGGGGCCTGGCTTGGACTGGGCTTGCCAATGTTGCCGATTCCTACTCCCCCGAAAAAGATTCGCATTTTTTTTGGAAGACCCCAAAACAGTCGGATTTAAAGCGGGTCAGGGAACTCCCTTGTGTGACTGTTTGGTAAGGGTTTTTTCAGATGTTCTGTTACGCGTTCCGTTCGGAGCACCGTTCAGAGGGAGCCACCCAATTCGCAACTCTCCATGTTTGTTTCCCTGCAGTTGTTGCAAGCTTGCTTCAGAGGTATGCTTATGCTCGGGGCGGGAAACCGGGTTGACTCGCGGGGTGGCAGATCTTGCCGGCCAAACGGGCAACTCAAAAAGCCACCGAAAAACTAGTGACTCCTGGCCTCAGGAAAACATCCTCACGCAGCTCCTTGGCAAAGTCGCACGGGCAATACAGCGGAAGTTGCACGGTTGACAAAGGGGCCAGCGACCACGCAGGTTGCAAGGGTGGGGGGGGGGCAGAAGGCAGTTAATTTGACTGGCGGGCTTCACATGGTTTGACATGGTTTGAATGGGGGGGGGGCTTCCGCATGACGATAACGCAGCCAACCTGAGAGCTTTGCATCCAATCGATTTGTTTCCCTTCTCCTTGCGCTGGCGAGTCTTGGCCACCAGGCGGTGTGTGCGCGTGTAGGACTCCGGTACTTGTGGCTCCGAGCATTTTACTTGGCTCAAAGGTGAGCGAGATTTCGATGGTTACAACCAGAACTAGGATGGGGCTGGGCTGGTCTACTGCTGATATGCCCTGGTTGGCATTTTTCGGTAAGCGGCCCTCATTTTAGAGTGTGATCCGTCCAATTGAGGGACATGATGACGCCAAGGAATTGCACCGCCCAGTTTGAGTGGTTCCAGGCGCAGATCAAGAAGGCACGAAGCACGTCTGCATAGGAGTGGCGTGATGCCGACAATCGGGCGGGATTCAGGTGGCCAAGAAGAACGTTTTTTCCCCCGTTGCTCTGGCGAACATGTTTTCAGACAAAGTGGACCAATTTACGCACCTCTTGATTGGCCTGCACGCTGGATCGAATTTGCGATTGGGTTAAATTAAAATGCTTTGAAAACAGATCAAAGCGATCCGCGAGCGTCATGTCCGCCATGACTGAACCCCTGAAGGTGCTCAGCAGAAATGAGAGGTTGCCCCGCAAGCCAGGGCACGTACCGCCTTGTCATCATTGCCACGGGGGTAGGAAGGACACAAGGGCTGGTCCCAAAATGAGGGCCCCCGGTTTGGCTTCCCTATGCACCAACTCCAGCATTGGTTCCCCACAAAACCCACACGCGTAAAGAGCTGCAGCCCCAAGATGTGCTCTGGCTGCTGGGAGTTGCCAGGTGCCCAAGGAAGATTGGCTCATCATCGTTGGCCATCACCCGGCAGACGAGATGGATGTGGAAGACTTCGTCTCTGCTCGGAACCTAAATTCGAGGGCAACGGTCCGTACGCTGCCGGATCAAACAAGCGATTTGCTTTGGCAAGGCCGCGAAGAACTTTGCCCCCCAATTATCCCACTAGCCTTCCAGGCTCAACAACCATCTCGTGATGGAACATGCTGCTGGGCATCACCAACCCGAGTTTAGTTCCCCACAGCTCCGGTTGGCTTCGAGGGTGGGGGGGTCCTATGTCCCACAGGTCATGAACCAGCATGGCTTCGACCTCTACTTGAATGGGCACACGCACCTCCTGCCACTTGGCTGAACCTTGCTGCGCTGCTCTTTCTGTGTGCCCCCTTTGCGTGTGCAGCGCAATGTACGCAGCTTTGCTCATTGTGCTTAGGCAAGGATTCCTGGGAGCCTGGAAGCTGTACTTATTCGCTGGCTACTCCTATTCATTTTTTGGGTGGCCCTTTATCGTTGGGCATTTCGTTTCCTGGCACTCATTCAAGCCAGATGGGATGACACTACCTCGCGTCTCGCATCCAACCTGCCCATTCCAGTATCAAAAGCCAAAGAGCCCTTTGAATGCTTGGTGTCATGCCAGTTTCCGTGCAGGGGGCTCCAAGAGGTTTGCAGTTTTGTTTGTCAACAAAAGCGGGGCTTCGGGCAGGAACCAGTACAGCATCGATGGCAAGGGCGCCTACGTCACCAGCGGGGCCGGTGCTATGGTGAAGACCCAGGACCTGCAAAGATGCTGAGCTTTTGTGGGCTGATAAGATACATCTTGGCCGTGTGCCACATCGCATTTACCGGCTTTGTTTGTAGGACCCCCTGGTGCATCAGGTGGTTTTGGATTTATGTTCTAAAGTGGCTACACCTGAGAGTGATCAGGCTTACCAAGCGGCAAGCGGTTCTGTTGGAAACCGTAAAGTCTAAATTTGGTCATGTTTGTGAGCAATCAGGTAAAGCCGATGGCAGCCGAACTGGACCAGTTCCCTCCCCACGGATGGTTTGATCCAAGGTTTGATCCCTCACCCTGGGGTAAACTGTATTGCAATTCTCGAAAGTCGTTCACGATGTAAGTAATTTTACGGATAGCCACCCTTGAGACAAAGCTCTGGGGAATGCATGTGAAGGGAACTTTCATGACCCAATCGTTTGCTTCAAGTGGCCTCGGCAGCTCCGAAACAGTGCAATGCCACCCTTGCTTTGCTACTTTTCGGCTGGCGTCCGTTTCTTTGGCCGAAGCTGGAGGCGTTTGTTTGAACAAGCGCAGTAGGACGACAGCTCAGGGAAAAAGCAAGACTGGCACCCTCGACCGAGTCCTGAAGCCTGAAAAAGGTGCCCTCTCGTGGCTGGTTGCCACAAAAGGCCACGCGCTACCAATCATACCATATTGTTTCACTGAGAAATCGGTAGAAGAGCCGACTAATTGCAAATTGTGCGAACTATGCAATCAATCAGGTCTTGCAGAGTGCTCATTTGGGCATTCGCTAGGAGCGGCTGGTGTTCTTTCTTTTGTTCTAAGCTTTGAGCAGTCACTGCCTTGCTGGCAGTACTGGTGTTTTTTGGCTTTCGCGTAGGATGCTTCCACAAAGGATGGACTGGTTTGCCAAGGGCAAATGGGTAGAGGCCTTGCATCTCGATCCCCAATTCCCGCAGTCATTGTCTCTTGCCGGCAAGGTGAGACATGACCGACCAAACAAGCACGTGCCATGTTTGGCTCAAGGGTGTCCAAGATTTGGAACCATGGCAAGGTGCTAAGTCTCGTGGTATGAAGCTGCCCGTCTCCCCACAGCATTCCGATATGGGGGAGGAAAGCGAAGAGACCACAGACTCAGACAGCGAGGATGTCACTTGGAGCTGGCAGTGTCAGCATGGGTGCAAGCAGTTACGCAAGATCCAGTTCCTTGCAATAGCCTGGGTGCTCGGATCCTTCAAGCACATCATCAACCCCAGCATACCTTACATCACCAACAGCTTCTTCGCTATACCGCATGGCGGCGGAGACTGTGAGCGGTTTCCCAAGTCTCATCCGTGCCAGCAGGGGGCCACAGATGCCGCTTTTTGGCACTCCATCGCCGAAGCCATCTCGCACCTTTTTGCCATGCCGACGGCCATCGCTTTGGGCTCCCTCAGCGACCACGTGGGCCGATTGCCCTTCGTGAAGGCTGCTGCACTATTGTCTGCGGTGGTGTTGGGCGCACTGGCAGCCCACGTGCAGTTCGGGGTCACCCTGTGGGTGTATTTGGTGGCCAACCCCCTGGTGGAGGCCTTTGACTGCAACGGCGTCTTTGTGGCGATCATGCTGGACGTGCAACACATCATCCCAGAGCAGAGGGAGCGCACAGCGGCGTGGTCAATGTTTGCCGTTCTGTTTGTGCCGCTTCTGGTCGCGCAGATGGTGGCGGGTTTTCTCATCCCGAGGCGCCACGCGATGACAGTTGCTCTTTTGTTCACTGGTGCGCACCTTTTATGGGTCTGCTTTGCTTACCCGGAGACAGCTAAATTGGCCTCTGGGAAGCAGAAGGTGCATGTCCTGACAGTTTTTCGAGACGTGAAGCGCGTCTTCCTCAGGAACACCTTCATCCAGCGCATGGCGCTCATTGTGGCGCTGGGCGGCTTTTCCTCCGGGGGGCAGAGTATCATCCTGCCCCCGCTGATGACTGGGCGCATCGGCGTGAGGAAAGCAGACAAGCTGATCATGGCGCTCTGCGTGGCTCCTGTTGTTCTTTTGTGGGTGGCTGGCGCCTTTAAGTTCACCAGCTCCGTCGGCGTGATCCGGGTACTTCAGTTCGGCTCCCTGAGCTCTGCCTGTCTTCCACTGGCGCTGGTCTTCTGTCAGGAGATGTGGCAGGTGGTCGTGGTGCTGGTTCTTTTGCTGGGGCCTGCGGTCGTCACCTTTGTGGCCATGATCTGGATCAAAAGCGCTTTGGTCAAGGAGGACGAGCAGGGCACCGTCCAGGGCGCCACGGCGGGGGTGGCCAAAGGTGCCGCCACTTGCGGCCTGCTCTTCTTCGGGTGGCAGTTCCGGACCTGCACCCATGGCGGGGAGGACCTCGAGCAGGGCGCGCTGGTGCCCTTTGTCACCAACGCCGCAGTGGCTTTTCTGAGCTTCGTGATCGCTTGTACCCTGCCCCAACAGATCCCCGTCCCAGACAAGGCCGAAAACGGGTTGGAGCTGGTGACCCGGACACCCTCCCTGCGAGATGGTGATGAGGAGCGCGTATCGCATGTCGTGCCACATGTCTCACATGTCTCACCTGTCTCTTCGAATTTCGGAACTCCATTCCAAGGGCTTCCCCATACTTCCGCGCGTGCTGATGGAATCGTCAGCTCTGCGCCATAGTCTGATAGTCTGATTGACGCGTTCCCTGCCAAAATCGAAGATATCAGAGATCTGTCTTGAGGCTGCGACATCCGCTTCCCTTTTCATAGCGCCGGTTGCCTCGGGGAATGACTCAGGACCAGGAGATTGAGGAGGATCACCTGGCCCAGGCCACCAGTGATTTCGCAGCGGCTGCTCAAAGAGATGGGCTCGGTTCCTTGAGGTCTTGAGCGAAGATTTTGGGCCAACGAAGTTGCAGACCTCGGGAAGTTGAATGTTTGGAGTGTTCATGAGACGGGTGGCTAAGCAGCAAGCTACTGGCCAGCACCTGAAGAAATGATGTGGATCATCTATCGTGCATTTCTTGTTTGCTCAATAATTCAACCCCACAAGAGCGACAAAACAGCGTTGGTTGCCCCAAGAAAGGCAATACGTCTCAAGCCTGCTGGCAAGAAGCACACGTAAACTTACCTTGCCTCCCGCAACAAACCAGGTTGGCTTGAAATCTCTAGGCTCGAAACAGCGCAGGTTGAAAGCTAAGCTAGAAACCCTTCATGATTTAAGAGTCTTGTTTGTTGCTCTGCCGGTGAACCTTTATTGAAATGCAGACCGTTTCTTGATTTGCGGAGGGGCCTTCATTTTTGGCCAAAAGGCAAGGGCGATTTCTACACACAGATTGTCAATCCACGGCGGGTTCCACAAGTTCTGCAAGAATTCAAGGAACGTTTGCTGCAGTTGTCCATGGGGGAGATGGGGAGGCATCTATGTCTCACGATCCATGGCCCGTTGATTTGATTGTAGCTTGGGCTGCACCTGACAGCGGGCGGGTGACTCATCTTGTGCCAGGCAGCCTCAGGGAAGGTGAAGACAGTGTGGGAGCAGAAGGTGGCAGGCTTCACTTTGCACACCTTCTCCCCGGATTTCAAGGACCTGCCGAATTCAACAAGATGAAAGGGCCAGGCCTGTGTGCTGGCTAGGCCTAACCATGCGTTTTTCCTGCGACCAAGACTTGGAGATCAAACTATCCGAGCGTGGGCCTTGATATTTGTGTTTGTAGCATTCGTTGGCAACGATCTGCCAGTTTGACGTGTGGGACGCATTGCTGCGTCTCCAAGCCTGCAAGAGAAGTCGCACCCTTCTGAGTTGCATCTTAACGGAAGATCTTTTGAATACCAGGGATGGGCTGGGCCAGTTGCTCAAAAACACCTTCAGATCTTTGGCCCTGACGTTTAGTCATGTTTAGTCATGGCCCAAACGGCTGACGGATCCTTTGGACAAGCGAGCTGCTTGCAGAATCGAGAGCTTGCGGGCAGGATAAACCTGACCCTTGACACCACGCCCACAAATCCCAGAGCGACCCTGAGCACATGGTTGCCAGCATCAAGACGCAAGCAAAGGCAGAGCAGCCATAACTGGGTATGGGTCAAAATAAAAGCCACTAGGCGACAGCAGGTTTTGGTCCATGTTTCCATTTGCCTTTGTTCCATTTTGGGTACCAATTTTTGACCCACAGCCAACTGAGTAACAAAGCACATCACAAAGCCCAACCAATGGGAGGGCCTCTCGAAGGCAAAGCTGTCGCTCTCCGAGCGGCGCGATGTTTCTCAGGAGCTGAAGACTCAGTTCGTGGACTACAAGGCAGTGAGGGGGGATCGCGTGAGAGGGCCCTTCGTCAATCACCAATGGTTAGGTGTTCATCAATTTTCAGCCACGCCTTTGAAGGTGGGTTCATATCGACACATGGCTGGCACGCCAGGGCAACGTGCTGCACGAGTTCTCGGTGACCCGCGGTGCTCCTTCGCCCTCACCGCCGCCCTCGCCGCCCTCGCCGCCCTCGCCGTCGACGGGCGCGTGCAAGCAGTACGGCTGTGGGAGGCAGGGGACGTCACTGTGCCAAGTCCCGGGGGCCCTCCAAAAAAATAGTTTGCTGACTTTCGGTGAACACCTCCCTAAATGGCAGCCCAAAAGGGCCAACCTGGGAACGGGAACTTGTGAACCTCCTTCCCATTTGTTTGGTCCGACTGGAAAAGGCTTTTCGGGATGGCCCAACCAGTTGTGGTTCTTGGCCTTGCCAGTTCTTGTTTGGCGACTGCATTTTGACTGTAGGTCACCATGGTCACCTGAAGTGCTCTGCCTGATCACCTGCCTGCAGCAGGTACGATCCAAGCCACTCCTGCCAGTGCAACTCCTTCTGCAAGGAGCTCTGGATGCAAGGGAGGGGCACAAAGCCGGGCCACATGCGCCTCGGAGCAAAATTTGAGACAAGTCAGCAGCCATGCAACCGTGTTGGGGGCTATTCGATGCTTGATTGCGGATAAGTTGAAAGACACACAGTGCACAAAGTGGGCCTATAGCCATGTCCATTTGGCACCCCCTACAAGTGTCAAAGCATGCAAAAGAAGCAGTGTGTTTTGTCGTCAGCCCGGGAAGGGTGCCACGAAGGGGTGACACGTGGAGGAGCATCACGACTGCTGCTCCGACTTCAAGAGTACTTGCGGTGGAGGCACAGGCTCCTGCAAGGAGTACAAGTGCGGAAAGCCTGGAGCCAAGAGAGCACTTGCGCTGCTTGCTAGTAGGGGCCGGCACTCTTAATCCATTGCGCGGGCGCGCGGAAATCGAGTCAGCTGCTTTTTGCTTGGGTTGGGGGACGGCCAGCCGCCAAACGACAGGTACAATCCCACGCACAGCTGCCAGTGCAACAGCCAGTGCAAGGACTGGAATTGGCAGAAGGGAGGGAAGCAGAAACCAGCCCAGTTGAAGGTAAGAAACGGGGGAGTCGGTGACCAATGGTTTGTTGACGCGGTTTTCCAAATCCTAAATCCGCAAAGACATGCGAGTGGCGAAACCCGATCAGAGTTCTTAAGACCACATGTAAAAGCCGAACCACCTAGTGGCCCAGCCTGGAAAAGGAAAGGTGAAGAATGGGTTCAGGGCACTACTGTGACACGGGGAATTGGTTTCCTAGAGGGCTCAAACCAAACAGTAAAATCAAACACTGCCCCAAAGCCCAACATGAAAGTAGCTCATGAACTATTTGAAAAGGTCAAATGGGTGTTTTTTAGCTTTTGATTGCTTGGAACGGATGCAATGCAACTTTGCAGGAGCACAAAGACTGCTGCTCCGACTACAGCACGACCTGCAAAGGTTTTGTGCAAACCGTTGTTTGAGCAGGCTGCTCTCGCGTGGCAGCTGCGCTGGGCAAAGGAGGGTGCAAATTCAAATGACCCAATGCCAATTCGGGGGTTCTAGCCGCTTGACATGTTGTACTTCGTTTGGTTGCGTCGCCATGCTGGTTTGTGCGCAGGTTTAAAACATGTTTGGGGCACCAGGAGGGCGCAACCCTATTTCTGATCATGTGTTGATCCTTTTTTTGCCTCTGCTAGTACTCATTTGTTTGTGAGGATCCCGAAAGACTTGGCCGAATCAGTATTAGGCCCCTTTGGAACTCAAGCATGCCCGGACCAGCTCAGCTTCGCGCGGGCGGCCCTGCCAGCAAGAAGAAGGCTCTGCACTTGCCAGCCAATATTTGAGGAGTCGCTCACGCACTTGAAGCTGACTTGCTAACAAATCATAAGAAGCACGACATAAAGCTGGCAGTAATTAAAGGTCAAAGTTGTCAGAATGGTCGCCGCGAGATGGGGAAAGTGAGACACAAAGAGAAGGACAAGATGATAAGAGGTGTGGTGGGGGAGGCACCACGATGCCTCCCCCGACAAACATCGCCTCCCTTGGGGTTTGGGGACCCACTGGAACCCAGTGGTTTGGTAGGTGACTTGCTGGCGGCTGGTCAGGGATGAGCAAAAAATTGGGCAATTGAGCAGTTCATGGCCTGGCCCAGCCCAGCCGGCAGCCAGATCGGGTAGCGTGTCCAACGCGCTTGGGGCCAGCTTGGGTCCCAAGCTGCGCGGTGCTTGGCCGTGGCACTTGGACGTAGCGAAGGGAAAAGCAGCGAGGCCGAGCGCTGGAGATGTCTGGGAGGGTTTGCCGATCCAACACGGAACAGGAAACGCGCGGAGCGAGCAAACAAACATGCGAGAGACATCCAATTTGCCAGTTTTGTGGCGAGATTACCTCAGGGTTTTTAAAAACGAGCGCATCTTCATGCATGTAGATCCTATACTTGGGCCAACTTGGGCCTCCCTTATTCTAGGCTTGGACATATTGTAAGCATTGCATGCATATGGGATATGTACACACATATATACATATATATATTATATATATATATATAGATATGTGTGTATAATATGCTCGCAGCTGGAACTCTAACGGGTCTACCCCCATTTCTGCATTCATGGGTGCATGCAAACAAGGAAGTACTCAAACAGCTACAAGCGAGCGATCAGGCAAGCGCAAGTGCAGGCACGGGCACAGGCACAAGCAAGCAAGCAAGCAGGCAGGCAGGCAGGCAGGCAGGCAGGCAGGCAGGCAGGCAAAGCAAGCAAGCAAGGAGGCACATGCATGCATGCATACACACATACGCAGAACAGTTGGTTTATTGGCATATTTGATGGTAACACGAGCTCGCTCATGATGAAGGTTCCTCTTGATTCCCATTGTGGCTATGTCAGGCTCTTTTAACCGTACTGTACGTTGCAAATGCGTCGGTGGCTACCTGTTCCGCTGGACGAATGCTGGAACTAAGGCATGGTATGCTACATGATCGGCCTCGCGCACGGGCGTTGCCAGAGGCTTCAGGATCACGATGGCCCTGTCTGAGTCTCTCTGATTGTTGAGTCTCTCTGATTGTTTTTTTTCCGCTTTTGCTGCGTTTATTGCACAGGCTCGGGGTGGGTGCTTTCAACTAGTGCCTTTCCGACCCTTGCCGTGCTTGTTGCCCACAACTCAATATCTTGAATGCTGGAAGTCAAGACAGCTCAATGTCCATGCTGTGCAGAATGCCGCGCAACTGCCAGCCATGCTGCGGCATTGGCTACTTAATCAAGCCTCGCGTTTAACGCTTTCCACCGGAATCCCTTGGCTTGCTTGTGAGGCTTTTTTCCTGCAGCAGGGCTCAGTAGAACATGTTCAGGTTATTCTTGGCTCATGCAACAGTGGCTAAAGCCGAATTTGAAAAACAGGCCATTCAGAAAATGCCGTCACTGTCTAGGTGACAGCCCTATCGCACAGGGGTTGATTTGGAGTACGGATCTGTCACTGCTGGAATTGGATTCAGCTGGGCCATTAAAATGTTTGCCGGACAGGACGCTTTCCAAGGTTGCTTCGGGCAGAAAGTTGCATTTTGATGCCAGCCGAGGTAAGCATATTGGAGCTAATGATGCAATTGCCTATGGGCAAGGAGGTAAGGTTGAATATGCGGATTGTTTGTTGCGATGGCTCCACTTCGCCTTGTAGTGAGTAGGAGAAAGTGTTCATGGAGTAAGTCAATTTCTCCTGCAATCCATACCGCGGGGAGGCTATAAGCTTGCATGCCGTACGCCCGAGCGTGTCCGAGGCCACTTCTGGGGATGCCTGGATGGCTGCTGCGAGATCACCACGGTCTTCCTGAGCCTTGTGAGAAGTCCGAACAGCCAGCCACTTCAAATCTGAGAGGGCGAGAGAAAGGCAGTCCTTGGGATTCAGAAGATGTGGCACTAGAGGAGTACTACTCGGGCATTGTTCATATATTTTTAGATATGGAAAGACGGATAAACCTGGCCAACACGCGTTCCACGCCTCTTGTGTTTACGAGGCTTGTGGTCTGAAAAAAAAGAGCGCGCCATGCGAGGAATGGGCTTTATCTTCTCAATGACACGGAGGTGGGCGGGAAGAAGCTGAAGGAGCGTTTGGATTGAAGGCGAAATGAGCCCAGCGGTTCAGAGCGCGAAACGGCACCCCAAAAGTGGGGGTCCAAGTGTGGCCTCTTGGGGCGGAACCCAAATGTTTCGTGTCCAAGTTTGTTGTTTTTGGGCCTGATCCCCCCCAATAAATCAGCTGCGCCCACAGAGGTCCTGTGCGAACTTGAGTGAGTGAGTGAGTGAGTGAGTGGGTGGGTGGGTGAGTGAGTGAGTGAGTGAGTGAGTCCAAGTTTGTTAATGTTCAAAAGTGTCTTTTTGAATGCTGGTCACCTTGTAAGGTCTTGAAGCCTTTGCAAAGGAGCTGTGTTCTCCCTGGGTGCCTGCTCTGAACGGCATCCTCCTGTGGCTGGCCTTCTTGGTCTTCAGGCCGCTTGCATGCCAGCCTTGAGTCCATGCAAGCGTCCCGGAGGTTCAGTAGAGCGCGTCCTTCAGCTTGTTTTGCTTTTGGTTGCCTCCATTCGGCTTCCCTCTCATTGGTAATTGGAGTGGCGGTTTGGTGGTTAAGGAGGGGGTTCCCATTTACCCAACCACCAATCCAAAACACCAACTATGGGTTACCTGATTCATGCCTCAGCCTTCGGAAATCCGTTTTCGGCTGAGCAATTCTCGGCAACTCGCCTGTCCAATCTCGCTTTCCGCATCCATCGATCCATCGCAATGGGCGGCGCAGCTTCCTCGGATGCCAAGAACCAGCTGGAGGGCAACTGGGCGCTCAATAGCTCCGGACCTCTTGATTTCCCCAGGGGCAAGTCAGGAGATGGATGCGCTGGAGGAATTTCCCATGTTCTTGCAACTGGGAATGTTGTGTTTGAGGGAACCGCCAGCGTATGGCTGCTCTTTTCAGACCAACCCCGAAAAAAGGTGACCCTCCAAAAGGACGACGACGAAATATTCAAAGCTTGAGGCTCCCAAGATCTCCCAAGGCTTGCCTATTGGCGGTGGGTAAATGCGGCATCCGAGGCAAGTCGGCAGAGGAGATCGCGGCAGCCTTGAAGGAGCTGCCGGCTGACCAGCTCTCGAAGATCAAGGAGAGCGCGGTGTTTCTCGAAACATCTGGGTGGTTCCCTCGTGAGCTGCCGTGTTTCCCACCCAAAATCATGGTATTTCCACATAAACCGCTGCGTTGTTCACCAAAAAAGGTTGGTTTCCTTTCGGGGTGCCGGTCTCGAGGGACAAACAAACAAGTGGGTTCCTGACCTCCCCGGACTAGTGAAGGGACGTTTGGAGCAGGAAAATAATGACCTGAAGGGGGGGCGAGGCGGGTTTCCTTCAGATTGACATTTAAAGTGAGTTTAAATGAGTCTCCAAGTTAGCTGATGTTCAAGACAGAGTGCTTCGTTTTGAACAGCAACATTGACTGGTTTGTCTTCGCCGTTTCTTGGTTGCCCAATCTTTCATAGGGGCTTCCAACATGGAGACTCATCCAGCTGCGTCACCCAAAGCTGAGTGGTAAGTGCCAAGCAATCAAGCACCTTCGTGTGTGTGTGTGTGTGTGTGTGTGTGTGTGTGCGGTCCATGCAGGCACCACAGCTTTGGCTTGAAAGAAAATGCACAATGACATCTCAGCAATGGCTTTCAGAAGCTGGAACGTGCACGAGTGGCTGAACGGAAACCGTTTTGGGGTCCAGGAACCGCGGGTTTTGGGGTCCAAACCGTAGCTTTCCGTAGGCAGCCCTGGATGCTGGCATCGCGTGCCCCGGGCCGGTGGACTGCAGCAAGATCAAGGTGGTGGCCAAGGAGCGCCTGGAGGGCCGGAGGGGGGGGTTGGTTGGTTGAGGGGGTGGGGTTGGTTGGGGTGTGGGAGGCGCGGGGGGGCGGTGGGGGGCGGTTGGGGGGGGGCAGGGGGGCGGGGGTACGAGGGAACTTTATGTATAATGTGAACGGGCCATTCGCCTTTTGATAACCAAGTCTTAGTTAAGAGATTTGTAAAATTCTAGATGGTTCCAGCCCAGGAGGGGCCCTGCCAGGACCCTTGATTCTTAGAATTGATGGAATTTATAGAACTTATAGAATTCTAACATTCGGACCCCCGAAATTTAGAATTTTTAGAATTTTTAGAATTCTAGATGGTCCCAGCCCAGGAGGGGCCCAGCCAGGACCCTTGATTTTTAGAATTTTGAGAATTTTTAGAACTTTTAGTTTTTTTTGAATTGAGTTCTAAAAATTCTAAAATTCTAAAAATCGGACCCCAAAAATTTAGAACTTTGAGAATTTTTAGAGCTCAATTCTAAAACATCTAAAAAATCTAAAAATCGGACCCCAAAATTTAGAACTTTTAGAATTTTAAGAGCTCAATTCCAAAAAAAATAAAAATCGGACCCCCGAAATTTAGAATTTTTAGAACTTTTACAATTCTAGATGGTCCCAGC